CAGGATATAATCCTAGAATATCAAAGATTACAAGGTTTCTTATGATTAAATCCTTATAATTTTCAATCATAAAATCTTTTTTTTAAAAATAACAAAGCATTACATTATCTAACTGATAACTTTGAACATTCACTATCCTTGTTATTAAATAAATTGTTTAATTAAAATCATAATTTGCTGGTCACCAACAGAAGTTTCTTATTATTCACGTGGTTTATTTAAAAAATTGTTTCAGCGTGGAAAAGTATTGGTAGAGATAATGTAAATGAAGGATATTATTGTTATTGAGGCGAGTGTTATATGACTGTTACAGTCAAAAAAAATGTGCTAAAAATACCATGTTTCAAATAACAAAAAAAATCACGAAAATATGATGTTAAATTTTTATAATAAACTATATTATTTTAAGTCACGTGATAAAATATTTTACTATAAAAAATCAGGCGGTCGGGTCACGAGAATCCAAAAAATTTTTTTGCCCCGGCCTAATATATTATTTATCTATCTAAATTGTCTCAATTTTTCTGCGAAGCTAAGTCGTTTGAATGATAATGATATCGAAATATTCTCTCTAATTATTACTTCTTATGTATTATATTATTTTACAAATGTTTTACAACAACCCCACTTCCATGTCCTTTACCACTTCCATTAATTAGAATATTCAACATATTATGTTTTCAGGGATACGAATATTTCGAAAAAAATATGATGTTTTTGAAATATAATATATGTGGGATCAGAAAGAAAAATTTGGTTAAACGTTTGATTCTTTAACAAAGGATTTGAAGAACTTGATGTTACATCAAAAGGAATCGTGTTAATGATGAATCCAGTGGCTTAATAGAAGTTTTTTGACACCGACCTTGATTGACCATCATTCCTTAAACATTTCGTTCAATTTGCTAAAAATACATTCAATGAGATGGATAAATTATTGGAAATCATCATCATTCAAATTACGAATACAATATTTCCAGCATTAACAGGAAAAAGATTATATACATTACATTATATCATAATAAACTTAGTCAACAAAGATCCAACAATAAAAGTTTGGCTATTTCACATTATTTCATTTCATACCAAATTTTCGTAACAAATTTTCCAATCTCAATTGAAGAAAAAACAACATGTAAGATAAATTCATTTATTGTGTTTCTTTTCCGTTAAAAAATTTTTACATGAACATTTTTATACAAAAGTACAAATATAAGAATAATTTAATATAAATTTAAAAAGATAAATAATATATATGTATGTGACTATGTGGCTACGTTTCATTAAAAATTAAATGTTTATATTTTGTATTTAATTGTTTGTTATAAAGTTCGAAAGTTGTATTAGGACGAGAAGAAATAGCGTAATAAGTGTGTGATCAAAAAAAATTTCAATGAAGCATTTAATTGAAAGACTTTCGGTGAAAGGATGAGTGATTTCCTTTTTTTGTAAATTTGTTCGTGATGTAGGCAGGTTGAGATTCACCATCAGGGTGCATTTGCATTTGAACAGTTTCTTCATTATTAATTGTGTTATTTTTTTAAGCCAAACTTGTTGTTTTTGAGAAATGAAATGGTCAAAATATAGGATCATGACTTCCATTACTTTTATCAAGTATCTTGAAAGGTTGACTTTTCTTTTGACATACGTCGTGAATTATAATAATGTTTGTTAAATAAAGAAGAATTGATTTATTTAAAAATATTTGTTATTAATTTTTTATTTCGAGGTAGGGAGAGTTGTATTTTTCTGAAACTTGAACTAGGGAGATAGCTGTTATATATGTGATATGTTTTCAAAATATGGCTATCCAACTTTATTTTGTACGTCATAAAAAATCTTTTCGGATAATCTCGCTTTTGATAACTTTGTCATTATGCTTTTGAGAAAATTTTTGATCGTCGAGATGAGATGAAAAGAAGATTGATAAATTTTCAAAACCATTTAATTCTTAACATTCTTCAATTGTTAGATGGTAAATCTCGGAAATGTTTCTTTTTACGGGTTTAGGTAACTTTAAATTGTCGGATTAGCTTTTTGTTAATAATATTGCTTTCATGTGTCTTAAAAATGATTCATTGATAACAATATTATTATATTGTGAAAAAAAAATTTTTTTTTGTCAATTACCTTACATATTTACTTTGTAACTTTTTCACACGTTTCCCATAAAAATCAAATCATTGATGTACTTGCATATCAAACCTTTTTGGCAGTAACAATAAAAAAGCATGTATTAAACTTCGATAAAAAATAATTATAAATATTTATTAAATCTCATTAATTGGTTAAAACCATGAATTTATTGTTGGTTATTAAACAACATTATTAGAAATTCCACCTGAAATTATTTTTGCAACCAGAAAACAAATGATAAAATACATTTAGAAAAGCTTTTCTTTTTTAGGCTATTATTTTTTTTTTGGTGAAATATCAGTCTTTAAATGTTTCTTATTTTGACATTTACTAAAAAGGGAAAAGAATGAAAGGAATATGCAAAATGTCGATTTATTTTTTTATTTTTTTTAAAAAAGGCGTATCTCAAATTATTCAAGATAAGAACTTATTAAACACAAAAAAGAATTTTCCAAAAAACTTTTATGAGTGAGCTTTATATATCGATATCTGTTATCGGATTGAGATGAAACGTTACTCAAAACCATCAAAAAAAAAAAAAATCTTAAAACAATGAATATTTTTCAAAGACAAAGTTAACTTGGAGAATTTGAAAGTTTGAATAATATGCAATTTTTTTTTTTTTTTTTAGTAAAATTAAACTCCTTGCATCGAAATTCCTTGACTTTTTCACGAGCTTGGGCTTAAATTATTATTATTATTTTTTTTTTTTTAGAAATGATAATCAACTGTTATTGAAACAATATAACAATACACAGTCCATTAAACTTGGCTTTAAGTTGTAAAAACTGGTCAACATCGCAAAGATTTACAGGTTCGAGTGGTTGATCTACAAATTCGACAAGACAAAAGATATGGGCCTGTCAAGATTCTTGGATGGGCAAATGGAACAACTCGAGATATATAGTTTCATACAATAAAAGAAATATTATAAATTCATCGTTACAATACATCTAAATATGCTTGATAATGTGATAAAAATATTGTACTTAATTAAATTGTATTTTTTGCCAACAACGCGAGTTAATGGATTGGAATCGAAAATCGATTATCGAAAATGAATAAAAAATAAATCTATATTTTAACGGCGTAGTATGTGTGGATTGCATTAAAATATATTTTCTTCATGATAAAGAAATAATACTAATAAAAAAAATATAAAAAAAAAAAATAACTTATTCCTCAAAGGTGATCCTATCGAAAAAAATCCTTGAGAAAAAAAAATGATAAAATACTGATCGCTGCAAAATCTAAAACAAAAAAAAAATAAAAAATCTTTACAACATATCGATTACATCTGAAACGATCCGAATTCAATTATTAAATATGAAATATTTTTTTATGAAATTATTAAAATAAAAAAATATTCGAACGCTGCGGCCCGAAGCGAAGAACTCGAAATAAAAAAAAAAGCATAATATAATTTACATCCGAAAGCAAGATTGCTACACTAATATTGTGGTGATACAAATACAACAAATCTTTGGTATCATTTAGAACGTCATCATTAAATAAAAATGAAAATATTTTAATAAAGCAACGACTGTTCCTGTGATGGAGTTGAGTTTAGATTGGTCATAAAGCCAATACAAATCGCACCTGTATGAGTTTGAATTCCTGGTGGCAATAATATCTATCTAATCATGGACAGGACGAAACATGTGATTAATAGGCGACAAATCAATGAAAAAAGAGTTATTTTCTTTTTTTTTAAAAAAAAAAAATTCAACTGGGCATAGTACTAGAAAAAGTTTGTTAAACATAAATTATTTTATAATTCTATCCAATAATCAAAGAATACATGAAAATTCCAAATTATGTAATTATACCCTATTTAAAAAAAAAATAGAGTAAACGAAAATTGTTTGTGAAAAAAAAAAATTTAAAAAATAAAAAAAAATTTAAATTTTTTGAAGAAAGCCATTGGGCAATAAATCCAGTGATTTACTGATTATTTCTATCCTCACAAAAAATATTACACATCTTCATCAGCACAAACAAATATTAATTATTCCATGAGTTTTTTTTTTTAAAAAAAAAGAGTTACCAGGCCAAGTTGTGGCTGAGTAATCGGCGCCGCGCCTTTTGCAAATGACAAAATTATCAAGTATATTGCAGGATACAATGTCCCGACTAAATAATACCTACTTTCATATTAAAACGTACGCTACGTATATTTGCTTAAAATTTCGATAGGAATAAATAGTTTTATTTTGTCAGAAATTACGTAAGTTGCATAAGCTTTAGTAAGAATATAGTTTTTAAACGAAGGGAATTGATATTAGGGTTTAATAAGTTATCTGCAGTAATAGGAAACTAACACTTTAGTTTTAAACCTTATGTCCTCGATCTATTTTGTCGAACTTTTTAACTTGTAATTTTTCCCGGCGATTAAAAGCAACAGAATTTTGTTCCACTTCAAAATTTACAATTTATATAAGAAATATATAATTTATATAAGAAAATTATTTTATCCGAATTACTTCTCTATTTATCGTTTAGATATTGATTGATATAATAGATAATTTTTATAAAAAATCCTTATACTTTTATTATTTGCTCGGGATCTCAATAGTTAATTCAAGAATAAGCCTCATTTTTTTGTTGTACGCGGAATTCTTATGGCTCAGCTCGACTCAGCTCGCAATCGAAAGCATTGATCCGAATTAGCATATAATATATTATAACAAATAAGAATTTGTACTTATACTATGGCAATTCCGCTACAAAAATCTTAGTATTTACACTTTTTCTTGGTTTAGAAATATTTCGGGAATGCCGTGATAGATTGTTTGGCTTTATAAGACGCGGCTCACAAGCCACAGAGCAGAATTAAATTAACTTTTGCTTAGCTTGCTCAGCTCATGAGTTTAAATTGATAAATTACATTTCTTATAAATACGGTTTCTGAAAAGTTTGCAATTTCCATAACCAAAATCAATTCATAAATCAAAATAAAAAAATCCTAAAAAAAATCATGAAAAATCTTATTTTAATACTTGCCATCGTCATAGTAATCTTCAGTAATTTCGTATTTTCTGCTCCTGCTAAAATAAAAAATTCAGAAAGCTTGATGAGAAGGCAAACATCTTGCGTAGCAATCGCTTCAGGAGAAACGGTATGCAGAATAGAACAAGCCGTTTGCGAAGGAACTAATAATGTTGAATGCGGAAACGGTCGTTGCTGTCAACAAGGACAAATTTGTATGGCTGACGACGTTTGTGCAATATGTACGTCTGAAGGTTGTGTAGGATAAATAGTAAAATTTATGACATATTTTGGCTACATCAAAGATTTTTGAGTATTATTTTAATTTATTAATTTCATTGATTGGCTTTCATATATTTATTCTTTGTTCCAAAATTATTTAAAATATTAAAAATATTACCTTTTCATTTTTTGAGACATTAATTTCATCCCTGTTTTAAAAAAAAATTGATCCTAGATTTAATAAACTTGTATTGAAAACCAAGCGTTACCTTTGATTTTGTTGTAATTTCCATTTCCGTCTGGTTTTTGATTTTGTTGTAAAAAAAGATTTGGCCAATCAAAAACGGTGAAAAAAAAAGTTGGTAAATTATTCCCCAAGAATAATGTGCATTTATATTTTAAAGTTATATATTTTTATTCTAAATTTCCCAAATAAGCCGTTTTGAAAATGCTACGCCTCACAAAATGAAGCAACGAATTATTATAGACGTTAAAGCATTTTGGCGTGAACTCATTTTTGCGACACCTGGTCCCCCCATTTTATTATGTACGATATAAATTTGAAGTAATGGAGGTCCTACTACAAATCAATATTTTGATAAGTTTATGATTTACTCGTATTATATTTTATATCTACAAATTTATAAACCTAATGAAATATTTCACATATTTTGTTGATTTCGATAGTCTCATAAACAATTTTTCGGAGGTTAACAATATCTCTATGTACTACATATATAGTTAAATTTCTCTCTGAAAAATATATAGTAAAAATGCAATATGCATTTGTATCTCTATTACCTAATTAGAATCCTCTGGGTATTATATCAAAATAATAAAAATAATAAAAATTGGAATAAATTTCATGCGATAATTGAAGTTGTTCTAGGTCTTGATTTGTTGATTTCTTAAATCACCCGACGCTTTTGCAAAAAATCTAGTTCAATTTTTAGTCATGATCGCCAAAACCATGATCGAAAATTCGAGACTGTCACCAATTCTTTTCCCGTGACAGAAAATTATCGAATAATTAGATAGCGTCAAGACGATGACTTTTAGATTATATTGGTGTTTGGCGCAAATCACATCATAATCCAAAAATAAGAGCCAGGCGAAGTAATCGAACAAGCTGACATGGTCAAGATGAAATAAGAAGTACAATCAATATCGTACGAACGGTTTCGGCTGAATGTATTTTATTTTATTTTTGCTCTTCTTGGACTGATCCAGAATTATCTGGACTGGACTGGGACTGGATTAGATTATAATAGATTAGATTGGACCTGATTGGATCTGCCTAACCTCTGCAAAAGTATAACGTGATAAATATTTAATTATAAAGTTGACAACGAATTAAGGGGTAACGATCCATTTGACATAGGTAACTATTGTTTGAACTTGTTGAAAGTGATACGCGAAAAGCTGATTTTAGGAAAAAAGCTTTTCTTGAAAATATTATATAAGGATCTTTATACATTTCTAGTTCATTGCTTTATCAGATTCGCATGAAATTAGGGAATTCGTAATTTCTTTACCGCAGAAGTATTTTGTTTGTTAAATCTGTAGTAAGTGTAATCTAAAAAATTGAGTTCTGTATTAATAAATTTTAATGCAGCATACTATAGATATAATTAAAGTTTATCACCTTCTATAATAATATTCAAGAAGATTTTAATACGTCACAGCCTTGTAGGTTATATGATCCGAAATATAACATTCCCAATTAAAATTTTCTAATATGTTTATCATAATAAATACTCCTCCCTTATTAGATGTTCTGAATCTTTCATAATCTTACTATCTAATAAATTAACATTCAGAAAAAAAAATTACATAACTTTTTCGAATAGTATATCTCCTTATACCGACTATTTCAATATGTTATTTCAGTGCAAATGGTATATTTGTATTATAGTAAAATGTTAAATATGAATTATTGGTCATTTTACTAAACAAATAGTAAAATACTCATTAATCTATATGATTCTAATTATTTTCTAAAAAAATATCATAAGTTAGTCTTTATTTAATATATCTGAATCTATTACTATTAGGTAATTTTGATTTAAGTAAAGATATGAATTTAAAGTTATCCAGTTAACCTATTCTTCTATTTATATCCTACATTATTTAAATATATTATACGGTATAATAGTATATCAAATCTATTAGCATATTTTTTTATTATTATGCATTGTATGATAATATCTTTTTAAGATATTTTAGTGTAATAATTATAATTTTTGTAAAAACAGGAATATTACCAGGATGATCCGACGGACATATTTTGTTTCCCATTAAATATAATGTTACAAAAATATTGACTAGACAATTTTATCGAAGGTTATAAAGTATAAAAGATCCCAGTAATTGAGTATTTAGAGAATTCGTTTATAATATGAGGTTTTATAAGACTGTGGTATTCGCGATAAAAATTGTTTATACAGTATATACCGTATACAGCGTATAAAAAGAGAAAAGAATCTAAACTTTTGAAGGAACAATAGTACTATCATGTGCAGAATTCACATTAGTCTTTTTGACAACATTATTATCTTGAGATTTGAAAATGTAATATTTGCTAACAATTTTACGAAGTATACTTAAACAGGACGATGTAAGTGTTAATAAAGGTACAATATCGTAACGAATCGCATTTCTAGAATATAAAATCTATTGAAATTTTATTTAAAAATTATTAAATTAAAATTAATAAAATAATAAAATAAAAAATTGAAAAAAATTATGGTGTGCAAACATGCCTGAATAACCACTTGAGGAATATCTTCAAAAATAATGTTCATGCTAGAATAACGAGCAATTTTATGTAATGTCTTTTGAGAAAATTTAGCATAAAAAATATCAAAATTTCCAAATTTTACTCTTGATTCAAGTACTGTTAAAATTTCAATATCGGTTCCAGCTAAAATAGTGAAAATTGTTTTGACTTCTTTTTCTTCATTTGACCATTTCAGAAAGTCTTCATTTGTTTCTTTGTCAATGATTATAATCGCAATCGTTAAACTTAACAAAAATGAAACTATCAAAATCACAAGACTTCAAGAAAAATTATATGATCGTAAATTTTTATTTAATATTTAATTTAATATAAATTAGTGCAGAGTAGAAATTACCTTGGAATAAATAATCCAACAACATTTTTGGCTTTTGTAAAAACAAAAAGCCAATCCAATAAAGCATCAGATAAAACAAAAGCAATTTGAAAAATTGCAAAATTATTTGCCTAAAAATAAAAGTAAATATGTAAATAACAAACATTATTTGATTTTTTAAAATATTAAAATAATATTAGTGGTATCTACATCAGAATTTTTTCCATTTTTGTTGCTTGAATATTTGGCGATTAAATAAAGTATAGTCAATGCTAACAAGAATACAAACGCTCCAATGAATCCTGGTACAAAAGATTCCAACTGATCGGCTATTTTATGTTAATATAAATTATATAATTTTTTAATTGAGAATTTTCTCTTATTGAAACACACGCTATATGGTAATTAAGAACGAATTCTTACGAATTGGTTGATATCCATAAGTTTCATCTAAGTATTTTGAATATTCCCCGGATCCAATAGCAGTAATAGACTTGTTCCTAATCAAATAGTCTAAATCTTGTATCGCCAGTTTAACAGTTCTTCCTTTTTTAGTTTCATCTTGTTTAATGTCAAAACGTAAAAAGATTTGTCTTTGAGGAGATGAAGGGTCAGATTCAAACTTTTCATTGGTAGTCACACGTTCATGACTGACAGGAATTGCAATAGCCAATTCTTGTGCTAAATTTGCAAAGAAAATTTTGCGTTCGCTCTCGTTATGATTCTCAAAAATTTTAGTCCCATCAACATTTAATTTAACTTGTCCATTAACGTCATCTGAAGGGTCTTCTTCTTCTGAAGCTGTTTTAAAACAATTAAAATGTTTCATAAAATAATAAAACGTAACTCATCCTAAAAAACTTACCTGTCTTAAAAAACCAAACATGTTCTTTTACACCAAAGAGAGGTTCTTTGTAACCTCGGAACCTTACAAAATTATCTTCAATTAAAACGTAGTATATTGTGTCATGTTGATTGAATGTGGATTCGATTACTTTAACAATAACAGTATTTTTAAAATCATCTAGAGATATATAATCATTATTATTTCCAGCAATTTTTTGACGCATAACACCATCATCTTGAAAAATTATAATATAACCATCCGATAAATCAACTTGACTATTATATGTAATTGTAATGTTTAATGTATCTGATGTAATAGTGTCATTAATTTTCGGAGTTGTATTGTTGATTTGTAAATTACCATATCCATGATCTAGAATATTAATAATTTGAAAAGTTAAATTATTGATTTGATTTAAAATTTTTTTTAAACGTTATTATTTACCACTTTCTATCTCAAATTTCTTCAATTCAGTGGCGATCAGAGACCAGAATGGTTTATCTATTGGCCGAGCAAATACATAAGTATTATTTCTCAAAATTTTCGATGCACTTACAAAGTTTGTCACTGTAGGAATTGGCAGCTCCCAATGATATTTGTCTTCGCCATTAAAAATATATCTTTCATTGATACTTCTACCACTTTCATCCCTTCCAATTCCACTTAATAAATAACCTCCGTACAGTAATGGTTCGATATGATATTGCTTAATTGATGGATTTGTGATGAAATCAATCATAAATGGCATAATGTTGTATACTGTTCCAGATGAAAGAAAATCAATCTTAAGATAAAATGTTCTTTTAACTGCTCGGGTTATAAATTCACCCGTTACCATACAAGTTTGTCCAATTCCTACGTAAGAAACACTGCAATCAATATCAATAAATTTTAATCCTGAAAGTGGAGTTTGATAAAGGACAGCTGGCTTTTGTTTAGTTGTAAGGCCATGCTCTAAGATAATAATGTAGACTCCTCCTCGTGAAATAAAAGGATTGTCAAGCGTTGCTGCATAATCCGTAGAATTTGCATAAACTATCGCGTATCTACCGTCCACCATTGTGATAACATTACTTATAAGGCTAAAAATTTCTTTAAACTTTATGTTGTCCTGCGCAAGAAGATATAATTCTCCATTTTCAGTCCTTCATCAAAAAATTAAAAAATTAATAAATAAATAATAAATAAATATAAATTATTTTTTTATATAAAAAATTGATATAAATAAATTACACTTCATATTGCTGCCAGACTGTATCAGTAGAATTTGTTATAGGCGCATAACGAATAAATCCTTTGTCGGGATAAAAGTTTACAGAAATCCCAGCACGGCTAGGGTACCATTGGTTAGTAGTGGTATTAACAAAGCTCGAACCAAATGAAATCTTACTATAAATAAGGAGCAAGCAAATTAATAATGATTAAATAACTAAAAAGTTTAATTATATAGTTAAATTTGATTTCAAACCTGTAAATATTTCCATTTAAATCAACTATCATTGCCCAATCAGAGTAACTAAAAATATCCAAAGGGTCCGTGGCATTTGTATAAGTTACCAACAGAAAATTACTTCTTATAGGATAAATTGCAATGGAACTCTCTTGAATTCCGTCAATATCCAAAATACAAAAATTAAAGTCTTGTATATCCAATTTAATATCGATTGGTACAACGCTCCCATCTGGATAAATCGTTCTAATTGACAAATATTTATCCACCCAAAGTATACTTTTTTCAATAGGGTATGATAAATCTGGACGAATTATATGAAGAACTATCGTGTTATCATAATAACTAATTATATTAAATATAGTGGGTGTGCTGTCGCTGGAGTTCACAGTTGGTATGTCCTCATATGTAAAATTTAATTGTGATTTTATTGGTAATATAGCAAATGAAATAATTGATAAAATTACAAAAATACCAATATAATTATTAAACTTCATCTTGGAATATTGTTCGAACAAATAATAATTAATCAAAAAATAAATTATATTAAATCTAAAAAGCGTTATACTCAGAATTTAAATCATTTTTTTTCAAATGAAACCCAACAATAGGTGGTTTCTCATGCTCAGCATGAGTCTAAACTTTGAAGCCGGGCCCAGCCCGGACACAAAATATATTTTTTTTTGTTCAAATCAATGGCTTGTAATTAAATAAATCAATTTTTTATTATTATTATATTCTTCTTTATTACACATAATTAAACCAATAAACTAATTCATTTTGGAAACACCAAGCCTTGCGATCTTAAAGTATCATCGCGGATAAAAGAGTTTTTCGCATATAGATAAAAGTTAATAACCGATTAGCGTAACATACACAATAAACGAAGCCTTTGAGTTCATCGTTTCTAACAGTGATTCATTATGTATATATTTCAAAAATGTTTTGTGAAAGACTTATCCGTGGGCAACGCCTTATCTTTTCGAAATGGCTTATGGAGTTAGATACTATACTTGCATTCTTTATGTAATATCTGTCAAAGAAGAGAAATTATTTTGATAGAATTGGAATGAATATATTAGGATCATTTCCACTAATTTATTGCCTCGAAAATGGCAACAACTGATGATGGGCTTTTAAGTAAATTAACGCTAAAAAAAATGTTACAATAACAATAATACGGTGCCTTAACTTATTAAGATTTTCTCTCGAATATAAATCTAGAGGTACAGAAAAAGAAATATTAGTAATAATGGCTGTGCATGTAAGTAACCAGAAGTACGTAAGTGTAAGGTAAATATGGTAAATATTTGGCTTATCAAACCAATTCGACACCTACATTCATACAGGAATTAAAATGATAAAGGTTTAGACCAAGTTAAGTATTCCCAGAAGCATTAAGCCTTGTTGTGGAATACACATAATTTCTGTAAGTGTACAGATAATCAGGATAACGAATTCTGAATAAAAGTCCAGATATTATTTATTATTAAGGAGCGGACCATTATCCGGGATGGCGGCATCCGGATATCGGTCTAAGACCTATTTAGAAACTTCAATAAAAATATTATTGTGCTATGTGTTACAAAAATAATGTCGATCAACAAACAAAATATTGATTGATTCTTGAATGATTTATCGGATAGGAAAACTGGCATATTATATTTTTTTGCGTCCCGGGCAGATACGCCACCTTTCGTTCCTCAATAATCTTATGAATGTATTTTTTTTTTTTGTGAATCTAACTACAACTATTAAATATTCTCACACGTAGCCGCTTTCTTTTATGGGATACAAAATATGAAGCAGGGGAGATTATAAAAGCAAATAATATACTGTTTATGATCTATTTTTATAGTGTTATATATATACACTTAGAAAGAATAAATTTGTTTAAAAAGGAAGTACTTCTGGCATGTTCTTCCTCATTGAAGTTTGATCGAAACATTTAGTTTATAAAGTTCACAAAATAAAAAAAAAATGCAAAATTGAAAAGCAATCCGATATGTGTTCATATAATAATAAAGAAATCTTTTGAGTAAGCCCAAGTGAGCAAATGTTCGAAAACCTAGAATTTTCAAATCTTCATTAAAGGTTTCTCCTTCAATTTCACATGACGAATATGGAATCGAAACCATTGCATGTTTCAGCCGAGGATTTGAGATTTCAATTCGGGTTTGGAACCGGATTTATTATATTCAATTCATTTCCTTCGGTTCATACCGAATTTATTTTATCCGGTTTCATCGTCCAAATGGACTGAATATTTTTATTGGTACCAGCAAGGTTCGTCAAAAGAGTAAGATGTATTAGTCATATGATTTTTAATTTTTTTTATTCTGATAATTAATTATTTCAAGCTTTAAGCAAGTTATAAATTTTATTAAAGCTTACTAATTTCGATCGCATTTAATTTTGAATTCTCCGGCATTCCACAGATCGATTTTGCCGTAGCAAAATTTATATCTGGTTTTAATTTTAAATCCAGACCAGCGTCGACTCAATAATTGATCGAACAAATGATTTAAATTATGAAATTATTTGAACATAGTTATTGCATTTACCTTAGCAGTTAGGTTAAAAAACCGGAGGTTTAAATAAATTAGATTTAAAACCAGATATAATTAAACCGATTTTCGTATGCGAAAAATTTAGTATTTCAAATTCGGGGGAACCGGATAAAAATCCTGATGATGACCATTTATGGCCTCATGTATTTCATTTTAATTATTTGTAGCACCCTTCTTAGGGAATGGCGTCATTAATATTTTATAAATTTTGTAATTTTCGAAAAATTGACTTTTAGCTTGATTTGTATCTTGGTTCAATCGTTCTATATGATTTTGGTGAACATTGATTTTCAATTTTATAAAGCAGTTATATAGGGTTGTATGGTCTTTGAACGTCTCGTTTTGCGATTGAAATTTGCTATTTATAATTTTATTAATGTATTTCATAAATAATTAATTATTAGTCTTGAAATAAAAATGTTGCAATCGCAAGAAAATATATTTATTAAATTGCAAAATTCTATAAAAATATAAAAGTATTGATTAACTATATTACTATGAATACAAGTTAAAATTATTCACTTGAATCACGATTATTCAAAATATTCGATAACGAGTTGTAAAGTAGTTCCAACACATAATGGTAATGGTTAATAAATCGACTCAATTTCTACGCCACAGAATTGCGTTAGCTAAAGGACGCATGTATGTACTCTCAAAATATAAAACGTTTTTGATGCAAATCTATTATTGAGATTTTCGTGATGCGATCATATTAACGAAATTTTCACTAAAATCGTATGTCAAATTCAATTCTCCGAATTATATAAAATATGATGATCTTTTTATTCACATACTGCGAGTATAACAAAAATCGAATGAAAATTTCAAACCGATCAAACTTATCAAACTTCCCTCATAATATGCTAAGATTTATGATTTGATCTGATCATGAACGTGAGTGAACAGGGTGCATTTTGTTAGGTTTCTTGACTAGGTGTGAAATAGCTTTTCGTGGCTAAAGTTTCGGCTTTGTGCGTTCTTTCCCATTTCTGATATTCCTGTACTGGTTTACTAGCCTGAGGATTTATAGGAAATGTGAACTAGATTCTTTGATATCTTATTATTTTTATTATTTTATATATAATACAGAGGTCGCAATGGCGGAGGAATTGATCTAAAAGTTTCCGTACGTGATGTAAACTTCGTCATTCAATATTCAATGCAAAAATTGAAAGAAGAGTATAAGTATGTTTTATTCGAATATGTTTTAATGTTTTGTTTATACTTTCGAGTAAGAATTAATAAATTAAATTTTGTATGATTATAGTTCCTTCCGTAGTACGCGAAATGGAAGGGGTGCTAACTAGACAACCTGAATCAACAATCGGTGTCATAGTGGGCCCCTCCATGTGCCATTACTCGGAGGCAACTAAGGAGCTCGCGGCGACCTCCAAATTCTCTATTAAGTTGTTGAGCGAGGACAACATTATTTTCCGTTTGAAAATTTATGCCGCTGGTCGGCAAAAAGATTATTTAAATTATATTTTATTTATATTTTATTTTTCGCCACTAATTATGAGAATAACGAGAAACAATTAAAGTCATTTTTTATGGGGTTTGGCTTGGCTCGACAATTTACCAAAAAAAAAGCAAGGAAATTCGTATTTTGTTTAATAGAGATGATGAGAAGAGATATCGTAAAGGGATATCAATATTTTTTTGTATTTCTTTGTATTTTTACTTGTAATTTATTGTAGTCTTAGATTTTATCCATTGATTTCTTTTCTTGTCCCTCCCCATTTCTTTTTTTTCTTTCTTTTGTTCGGTTTTCTTTTACTTTTTCTTTTTTCAATAAAATGACCCCTGGTGGATCAATGATATATATTCAATCGCATTTACTTTGCATGTATTTGAGATTTATATTTTCGGTCGTAAAATGTGATTTTTGTTTTTTCCAGCAAAAACGAAAAATGACGAAATTTTACAAAAAGTTGTATATTAAAAAGAACGATCTAAAGGCCAAATTTTGAGAGGAAAAGAACATAATCTATTCTGGGCAAATCGTGTTAAAGAAAGAAACAATGGCAATCATTCTGTGACGATTCTATTTTAAACAAGTAATAATATACAAAAAATTCGAATATCTCAATTCATTATATGGTAGTGCTGTTGCTATGAAACATATTTTCGAAGTGAAGGAACTTTATAAGTTCAGTTTGTGATCACAGCTTACGGAGGGAAAGCTCTGCATTGCCGATAATTCTTCGATTAATATTTGCATGCCAAAATAAAAATCATTTCAGATACGAAGTGTCACGGTTAAAGGATCTGATCTCTGAATCGAAAAGGTGAAATTTCTCGTCCATAACAACTATATTCTTTCTCGAAACTTGTGTCAATCCGGCGATCGAATACGATATGACTAAGCAGGAATATCGATTATGCAAACCGACCACATTCGAATCAGCAATACGATCCTATACAAAAGTCCGGGATTCAACACGGATTATTTTGGTTAAATGATCAAGATCCGGGGTAAGAATACATTTTCTACCCCGGATGATCATCTGGGGTCGAATTATGAATTAATTCATGGATTATTTCTTAAATTTCACGAGTTTCCTCTATAGATCTTATACTTTTTAAATAGCAATTAAAAAAAATTCTTTGTTACTTGCCTCTGAAATTTTATTAATTGAAGATATATCTTTCTTAAAAATTTTCTTTCGCGACAGTATCTTATATAATGGTGTCAAAATTAGTTGGACATTTTAAAAATAAAGATTGAGTCGATAATTAAAAATCATGATATTTAAAACAAACAATTCAAATGAAATCTATTTTATTGATGAAAGATATTATGTAAACCACTTGTGAAGTTTAAGAATTCGACCTCGGATGATCTCAAAAGATCATCCAGGGAAAATAAGACCAGCCGGGGTAAGAATACATTTTTTATCCCAGATCTTGAGTGATCATCCGATTTTTTAACCAAAATAAAAATATCCAGGGACTTTTGAACAGGACGGCGCCTCAAACCGCAATTATGATAAGTCCAGATTTCTACATGAGTATAGACATTTATTATTGACGCCAGCTGCCCAAATATTGCGATCGTCTATGTACGTTTCCCCATATTTTATTTGAATTTGTCCAATATTCTGCAAAGTCCTATCTATACTGGTATATTCTTTCATTACAGGATCTCATCTCTAGATTTTTTAAATAATTGATTCTACCATAACAATTGTTTTTTACTTCCAGGATATAGTGTCCGAACCGCTATTCTACAAATATTAAATGCATAACAGGCTTATAGAATACAAGATTCGTAACATCACAATAATAATCATAACCTATTACAGGAGTCAAGTAAGAAAATAAATCACAAAATGCATTCTTCCACTTACCAATCAACCACTGTTATCCTTATATGATCACACAATCCACCTATGGATTAAAATTGTCAATGATTTCGTATTTTTGTAATAAATTGTACTGAAATCTATTAGCCTACAAATGATAGAAAAGAGTGCATACTGATTAAATATAGACTTACTTTGGAATATGTATATCAATTACCTCATTCATTTTTTCGTCTGAAAATACGTTCCTGACAAAGGTATACTCAGAATCAAGAACTTAATAACAAATTTAATTTCACAAAAGCAACAATGAAAAAAACAAAAGCATAACATAATATCTGCACTTCTTCCCAAGTTAGCTTAGTAATGGCAAATATCGAAACTATACATAAGTTTTTATCAAATACGTCGAATATGGGGCTATCTACATCCATTTCTTCGAGATTTCCAAAGTATCAAATCTAGTTACAATGGAACGGAAATACGAGAATACTGTATGAATATCATACTTTCATAAAATGATCTTGTTCGTTCCGAACTCCTCATAGCCGTTGACATCATTCTATTTACAAAGTACTACCATTCGTGGCTAAGCCCATTCGGAGAAATAATTTGATCTAGGGTTGTTTCGAGTTAGTATCAGTTGAAAGAACAATGACATCATTAGCTCTAAAATTTTGGAGAATCATTTACAATTCCTCCCGCCAATCCTATCAATAGAATACAATAATATTGTTACCATCTGTTGGAGCGGCTGAAGTCATATTATAAGTCATCAGTTTGCGTGGAGATATTAACTGGTACTTATGTAACTAATACTTTTCCAGAAAAAAATATCTTACATATAGTTCCTTAACAGAAAAACTATTAAAAATGCTCCGGAAGTTTGTGCTTTGCAATCAGAAGTCTTTTTATTACCAAAGACGCGAATTTCTCGTAAGTTTTATCTGACAAAATAACTATTTTCGTTTTACTTCGATATATATATTAAAAAATTCAAGCTGCGAATAATTAAAATTAAAATTAGTGATAGATTGATGAACGTTTTAGTCCATAAATTCACAAGCAAAAGATCACTTTGGTTTTGAACTTCGATGGAAAATGGATTGTTCATAGAAAGTCTAATCAAGATCATAGGAAACTCCATATCTGTCTGTCACTAAGCTCGAACAGCCAATCAGGATTTAAGATAAAGTGTAACAATTAAAATGACAGAAATATTTTATTGCTTAATTATGTCCAAAGCATAAAAAGCATAAGAATAGAATTATTTTTAATTAAATATTATCCTCAATAAAATTCAATATTTTTTTAATAAAAATATTGTATTACATTATTTTTGTTAAATTTTTATTTAATACATTATTTTTGTTATATTTTTTTTGTTACATTGTATTTAATAAAAAGTTATAAATGCTTAAGATGATTTAATGGTTCCCGTTACTTAGTTTTT